AAAAAAAAAAAAAAAAAAAGGACATTATATTAAGTGAAATAAGCCAGTCACAAAAAGACAAATATTATATGATTCCACTTATATGAGGTATCTAAAGTATTCAAATTCCTAGAAATAGAAGTAGCATGGTGGTTACCAGGGGCTAGGAGGAGGGGGAAAAGGGAAGTTAATGTTTGTTTAATGGGTGTAGAGTTTCAGTTTTGCAAGATAAAAAAGCTCTGGAGATCTGTTTTACAACAATGTGAACATACTTCACAGCATTGAACTATACATTAAAAATGGTTAAGATGATAAATTTTATGTGTTTGTTACCACAGTTTAAAAAAAAAAAAAAGGAGGAGCACGGAGATCAGAGCGGCCTAAGGCCAGGATTAGAGTCCAGGGGAGGCTGGACACTGGGGAGTCCTATAAAGGCAAGGACCTCTCTTTTCTTGTCAGAGTCCTTTTTGTGGGTGTGTGTGGGGTGTTGATGGCAGGGGGAGTCCCTGCCAGGACCCAGGGGAAGGGCTCATCTCACTAGGGCTGGAGCATATCTGTACCTGAGCTCCTGGCCTAGCTCCTCACTGGTGGAAGGCGCAGGACTTTTTTAGGGAAGGCTCTTTCTGAAAACTAAGGATGGGAAAGAAACCGCCTGTCCCCCAGCCACAGTTGCTGAGCTTTCAGGCACCCACAGGAAGAGCCAGGAGGGATGCAAATCCCTTTTCATCCCTGGGCCCCCAAAGAGAAGGCAGCCCCAGTGAGCCCCGTCTACGCTGGTGGAACTCGGGGACTGTTGTTCTTGGACAAGGCCAGCACATAGCTCTGGGGCGCCAGCTCCCAGCAGGCAAGGCCGTGCTCAGCTCTACCTCCTCCTCCCTCACCTCAACTGGACACGCAGCTCCAGAGACGAAGAATTCTCTCTGCTCCCCTCCCTGCCCCTCATAAGGGTGGCTGACCCATAAGGGTGGTTTGGAAGCTCCGCTCAAGAGCCCAGCCTCGTATCCCCACCTCACTGCATAACACCTGCCCCTCCCAGTTTCCAAGCCGCAGCCTCTGTGAAAAGCTTTGATCTCCAGGTAGGCATATGTAAAATATGTGTACTTATTGGCAGAGTGAAGGAGCACGGAAAGAAATACTCCAAGTGTATGCCAGCAATATTTTCTGAATTGTTTGTAAGGTATATTGTTTGTCTTTATGATTAAGAAAAAAAATGTATGAAGCTCAGCTAAGCCCCTCCAGCTGCCACTATAAACACTCCCAAATCCCTGCGTCTCCCAGCTCACAGGCACCCTCTCCTTCAACTACACAAGGACCTAGAAGGGATAGGGTTTTAGCAGCGATAAGATTCGGGACAGACAGGAAAGGAGAACCAGCGGCTGCAATGACAGCCCTATGCAGAGGTCTTCCCGGCTGGCCAGGATACAGCCCGGAACCTCACACCCCCTGTGCCCCTACCCAGCAACGCCCTGAGCTGGCACTCGGGTCAGAGTAGCCAATGCCTACACACATACTTTCTTCACCCACCAAAGGCTCTCAAAGACACAGCTCAAGCAGGGGAGCCTCTGACCTGTATGTAAACACACACACACACACACACACACACACACACACACACGGCTCTGAGAGAGCCCGGGAAGCGCGCACACACACACACACACACACACACACACACACACACACACGGCTCTGAGAGAGCCCGGGAAGCAGGCTGCCCTGAGGTGAGGAGTGGGTAGAATGGGCAGGAGCCCGACAGTGTCTCTCCTTTCCTCCTTTGGCCTAATTCAGGCCCATCCTGTTCATCCTGGCTGGAAGTGCCTGCCCCTGAGGTCAAACCAGTCAGCCAAGCCTTCACCCACACCTTCCTGCTCTGCTGGGGATGGAAAAGGGCACGTTCCAGGAAGCACTTGGCGGGAAGTGGGGACAGAACACACCGACACTGCTTCTCAGAAATGCAGCTCTTCTTCCCTTTCCTTCTCTGTCCGTGGATACAGGGGAGCGAGGGCTCACTGGGCCCTGATATTTTGGGGCTCAGGGATGAGACAGTTCCCTTCACACTTAGAAATACTCCCAATTCAGAGCGATCACTGTCAGCCTCACGCCTCAGCGGCCCTGCTGATACTTCATCCTGCTGCTTCCATCTCGCCTCTTCCATCCCTCACCTCTTCCGGCCTCAAAGACAGACCCCTGCCTGCCTTTGGTGTCTGCCCTGAGCCTTCTTCCCCTCCAGGGAGACGGCAGCAGGGAGGAAGGTCAACCTGGAAAAGCTGGAATCAAGGACGTGAAGAAGACTAAGATCCCTGTAGCAGCTCTGAGAAGCAGGCTGTGGGAGAACCTGGGAAGCTGGGCTGGGGTTTACCTTTCAGGGTGAGGACTGAGCCAGCTCAGATTAGAGTAAACCCAACCTTCGCCTGAGGCTTTCCCCCACCCCCGCCACCTGCAGACATCCTCTAGGTGTCCAAGGAGAAGGGCCTCAGGGCAGCACCCGGGTACAGAGGGCTGTACAAAGTGTGATAAAAGGGGTGGACATGTGGAACCTGAGTGTCCTAGCCAGGAATGC